CTCAAAATCATCATTTTCATCTACAATTTCTCAAATTCAACTTAACAATCAATTAACCACAACAATCAACTCCTCACATTCAATTTAATTCATCAATTAAACCCACAATACAAATTTCATAACCCTAACATTTATAAAACCAAAATTAAAGCTTAATTAATACATATTTATACATAATCTTACCTTTTTACTTATTTCCTCCAACTCTTTCCGATTCCCTTTCTAATTTCCCTCTTTTCTCTTCTTCTTCTTTCTCCCTTCTCTCTCCTGCCGATTCTCTCTCAACTTTCAGATCACTTATTTTATTTTATTTTTACTTTCTATTTATATTTATCAAGTTTTGTTGAATTACTACACTACCCCTCATTCATTTATACCTACACTTTAAGCCATCAAGGGCTTTATTGTATTTTTCTACTTATTTATTCAAAACATTACAAACGTGTTCTAAAAATAGGATTTTTATAGTATAATTTCAAATCATGGACAGAAAAAATGCAGTTGTCAAAAGCAATTAACAACAACTAGTCTGTGTTATGTAAACTAGGTTATAAATATAGATTCTAGTGTCTGTCGAGCATTAATCTACTACAAACATTACTAAGTAAGGCATCAGAAACCCCAATGTTGGAGGATATAGGATTTTAATGAATTGTTGGAGGCAAGAAAGAATAAAAATGGAAGACAGGCAAAAGGATGCTGAGATCACCGTCATAAAAAATAAAAATAAAAATTCTGTCTCTTTATCACATAAAATAAAATGTTGTTTAATAGGAGAAAAGGGACTTCCAGTTTTACATATGACAGGGAGCATTACTTGAGAAAAAACCTCCCTCAAACGTATCTTTTCATCGACTCATTTCCTGCTGAAATCGAAGGATCTAATGAGCTACTATGAAATATTTACTCGCGCGGCAAGCTTTTCTATTCTAGTTCATAGTTTTTCTTGGCTATAGCCTTTATGGTTCATTTGGGGAGAGATTGAGCTTCAAGAAATAGTGAATGGTATAACTCGTCAAGAATTTCAATCGCGCTTATATTCATCAGTACTGTAGGAATTGGGTTCAAGCTTTCCCCAGCCCTTTCTCATCAATGGACTCCTGACATATATGAAAGACTGCAGTTCGTTCAAAAAATTCTTACATAGCTATAAGTGTATTGGAACATTTTTTGAAAATTAAGGTTCTTAACAAGTTCATGTACATCAGTATTCTCATGTGGCAGGAGCCCTATCAGAATAGAGTAAACTATTATTGAATTCCTATAATCCTATGTTTTTAGCAAAGTAATAAGTTAATCCTCTTTTAGTTTTTTTTAAAAAAACGAGTAATGAATCTCTGTACTTTTAAATTTATTTACAACTTAGTCCTCCCTCAGTTTTTGGTGACAATTCAATTGTTTTTTCCCCCTAAAATGTCCTTCATTTTTTAGTCAAATTTTCCAATCTCACCTCTTGCAAACAAAACCATAAAAGTATCTAAAAAGGGCAACTTAGACATTCAGAAAAAGAAACAACAGTCAACTCTGGTCAAGGAATGGCTTATGTTTTTCAAAGTCAGAAGTACTAACTTACAAAAGCATAGAACACCCAGGGACTAAATTATTATTTAATCATCAGAATTTATGAAACTATCGCGGTTCTTTTTCAATGAAATGAAAGGTAAGAATTGTGAGTCAAGATTTAACTCTCAGTAACATGTTTTTTGAAGAACTATTGTTTCAGAAAGCCACAAGTGTCATGAGCAGTGTACACTGCTGATGCAAATCTGGAATATCAACTTCAATAATTCATAAAGTTTCGGCTCTTAAAGAGGTGGGAGCAGTGTTTTCCAAAATTTAAAACACAGTCCTGTATGTTGCTTTCATTTTGATCATAATCAATAGCAATGTCTTATATCTCAGCATAAGATTAAGAAAGTGGCACAGCTATCTTAACAAATGATTTATTAACGCGGGCATACACAGCAGTTCTTTTGAATGGGATATATACCTGTTCAAAAAGTGTGCAGAGAACGATAAAAATATGCAGAGATCCTTTCATTATGCATTTTAAAAAAACTTTCCTTCTTTTTCAATTTGCACGCTCAGCAGTATCCCTTTATTAAAACCATCAGGAACATGATCCCCCTTGAAAAACTATGTGATGATGATACAGGCATAAATAAGAATAAATGTCATAATTCACTGATGAGAATGCAGCTTTATGTGTGTATCTGTGTCACAGCTGGTGCACACACAAACACTTGTATATGTGTTTTTTTTCACATGATAAAATTAAAAGTGTATTATATGCATCACCTGAGAAAATGTTTCCAGACACAAAGGGAGAGAGAACATTTAATAATCGTACTGCATGTTTATTGATTAGCCAAACATCACGTAAGAGATTTCTATCTGGTGGAAAGTGGAGTGCCATGGCATCTTCCACTTACAATTGGCAACAGTAAATAATTCCTTTTTTCTGTTCCTCTAATCTTATTCTTCAAAACCAACCCGATTTTATGGCAAAATCTCAATATTAGGCAAGCTATTTCCATCTACTGATTAGATAAAACAGTCTACAGGATTCATGGAAACGTAGCCAGCACTTCTCCTTTCAATTTTCTAATAGTCTCTTTACCCATGCCTCCCCTTATTTATATCTCCCAAGGTTGTTAAACACTCCGCATGAGACTTAACTAATTTTTTAGAAAGTCTTTTGTTGGGGACCATTTTCTCAACTTAGGACCATCATTGCAGGGAGAAAAACATGGGAGATACGCTGCGCCTAGCAGTGGGAGTCATGGGTATAACTTTCTTTGTTTTTTTCCTTTCCCTGCATCAGCTATCTACCATTACATGTAACTATTCTACTAAAGCAACCTAATATATCAAATCTTCATGACTTTGTTGCAGGCAATGCAGCTTCTCTGTTGCTTTTTTCAGCACCTATGTAATGCCAAGACTCTATAATACACAAAATAGTAGTTTATCAACTTAAGAAATTTGACAACGGAACTCAGAACTATTACTTTTTTCATGCCTCCAGATTAACTTCATGTAGGGTCTGTTGAAGTAAACTCAATCCAGAAGGTTAAAAAAGGTAGCCACAAACTGTCACCACCCAGCTACCAACCGACTAGCCGCCAGCCGCCAGTCGTTTTCACACCATCGGCCACAGCTGCCTTCACACTTGAAGGTTGAATTTTCTTGTTTTGATTTCGTGTATAAGTAGATAGCTAAGCTTATGCAATTATGTGTGGAGAGATAGAGAGAAACACTAGAGAGAAAGAGAGAAAGAAAGAGAGTTTGTTGTAAGCTTTTGTTTATGTTGTAAGCTTGTTGTTCTTGAAATAAAATAGTGTGTTTTATCCCTTCCGAGTGTTTCAAAATCACCACAAGTGGTTTCTCCCACTAACAAATCACAACAATAATAATGGATAAAAACCAAGAAATATGGCACTAATACTAACACTAATTAAACTTGCACTAAATGTAAGCAAAGTCTTTACCACACTAATGGTAATTTCTTAACATATAATCCATGAGAATATGTAGGCACGAATCTTGTTTCTAATCCCAATCAAAGCAATGCTACGTGGCTGATACATTCGAGTTTGTCTCTTCCTGCGAACTCTTGGAACGTGGTGGCCGTGGCTTTTAGGTTAGGATTGCTCGCCGATAATTTTCTTTAATTTATGTGGATATTCAATTCACACTTGTTAAAAATTTTATTTTACTCACAAATACCTGACGAACAATATACTCGTTAAACTTGATCATCCCTAAAACCAGTCCAAAAAATCAGAAGATGCTTTATCAGAGGTACAAAAGCAAGTCCTCAAAGCCAATAGAAAGAAAGACAACAAAACAAAGACCATCATTTATCAAGGTCTTGATGAAGCGACATTTGAAATCATTGCTTCCGCAA